AACTCTATCCTAGCAAAACCAGGACACTGTCTAATTTCTGGACTGATTTTCTATTGTTTTTCATCTGGCGTATAGTCATTTTCAACAGGACAATGTTTACAAAATGATAGCAAATTAGAGACTTCTGTGAAGCTATAGCTTTGGTATTATTTTGCAGCTACTTTCACTAAGTTAGAATGATTCTATAAAGTAAAACTCTACACCTTTTTCTTGAAAAGAAAGCTTTATGCATGGCCTGTGAAATCTAATTAGCATATATCTGTTTTAGTCATTAAACTTTATCTCTTCCAAATCACTAAAGAATTTGCAGAATCCTGCAAAATTCAAATTTTAAAAAGTTAAATATAAAGCAGAGTAATTTTATTTTAAAAAAAAAAAAAAAAAAGATATTTTCATCGACGAAAGGGACTAAATCACGTTATATAAAAAGATACCAGGAAGCTCCTCTAGGTGTTTGTGTGTTTGAGAGTGGGGACAGAGATAAAGCCAAACTAGAATTAGGAAGAGAACCATATGAAACAGAGACTACAAGGAAGGTTGGATGAAGACCCTTGAAAGTTGTTACTTTTTAAAATGAATGAACAATCAATTCATTATAAGAAAAGTAGTATTACAGTCAAGATCCATTTTGCATGTGGAAGTATTAGCAGAAAGTATGCATTAAAAGGTGGATCACTGAGCTGCTGAACTGGAAATTAGTGTGGGACCCTTCTCTTCACCCCCTTGACACTGAACCTATTTAATCCACAGACATAAATCATCACAGTGGTCTTTGGATTGCTCCACTTGTCTGACCTTGGGTATTAGTATTATGAAGTAGATGAGTGCTGACTCAGTATCTACTGCCTTTGTTTCTTCTAATGCATTTGCAGGATGATATTCTGAAACCAGTATGACAAAGTTTTTTAGTATCATTTTTTAAAATTGATAAACATTGCAGAATCCTGATAATACTCCATTTAGCAAAAAGGTCTGTATCGAGTCAAGTTGTATAGCATGGGTTGTATATTATGGTGCAGAAACCAATTATTTCTCAAGAGAAAATGGGGAAGCAGGTCTGAAATACATGAAAAAGCCCCATGTTTATGTCTGCCTGCCTTAATATTAGACCAGTGTCTTGTGCAGCAAGTCTCTAAGGAACAGTGATGCCATTGTTTTGCTGAAGATGGTACTTCAAGTAGCTCATGCTACTAAACAATGAGGAGCTATACAACTCAATAGTTTATCTTCAGTTCAGTTTGTTTGTGTATATTTACATACTCAAGGGTGTGCAACCAGCAGTGTTACCACAGTGATGATAAAACAGTAGATAAAAGCCTATAAAATTGTTCATCTTTGGCCTATAAGAATACTTTGCTTTGTAACCTGACAGGCAACAGCAGCAGTAGCAGCAGCATCAGTTGCATCAAGAGATTTCAGTGGTGTAGGGGGATTAGGAGAACTCCTGGAAAGTTCTTCAGAAGCATCAAAGTTGAGCTCAAAGAGTGCTAAAGAAAGAAGAAACAGAAGGAAGAAAAGAAGACAGAAAGAAATGGCTGAAGTAGAGGACAAAGGAGATATTGATAAGTTCCCCAAGTCTGAGTCAGAAGACAGTATCAGAAGGAAAAGTTTCCGATTCTCCACAGAAGGAAGTCAACTGACATATGAAAAAAGGTTCACATCTCCCCACCAGGTACAACACTCTTTTTAAATTAAATCACATATGTCTACTCTAATTTGGTTTTGAGTGACGTTACAGCAGCTTTACATATTAGAAATTATGTAAAATATGACTGAAGGAAAAAAAAAAAACAGTGGTAATACTGTTAACAGTGTGACACTTTGACATGGTTTGACCCATTCTATTAGCAAAGTGATAAAAGAACGATGATGCCTGGTCTGAAAAAGCTACATTTGCATGTCTAAGGAAGTGAAGTAAAGTTTATCATAATTAAGAAGAATGACCAAATTGTTTTCTGGATAAGAAATAAATAAAATGTAATAAAATCAAATTATTAAATCTATCTCAGTTCCTTTGAGAAATATTGTAAAAGTGTATTTCCAGTGTAATAAAATGTACTATTAGTTTTGGGCCAAAGCCACTCCAAAAAATCTTTGATTAATTGGAGTGGGCTTAGAGTCAGGCTGATAACAAGGTACTGCAGCCAAAGATCTCATTTTAGACTTTACAGTTCTGTCTCACTTAGAGATATTTATATGTGTCCATAGCTCATAGATGAGGATGAGTGACTTGACCACACTAAAGAAGAGTCACTAACAAACTCTGAGCAGTAAACAATTTCTGACTGCTGGTCTTGTGCTTTAACTGCTGGATAAAAGGCCTCTCCATCATCTAGTCTAAATTCCCTGATGCTGTTTTAAATACTTCTGGTGAAGAGACTGATTAAGGAATATATTATGTTTATATTAAACGCATTTTTCAGTGCACAGAAAAAAATACTTAATACAGAAGCATGTGTACCAAGGGGAGAAGAATTTGAGAGAGAGATTCATAGATAATAAATGTTCTGCAGATTTATTAACATACAGTAAGGCATTGTTGCATGTATTTCTTCATACCCTGAAACTCTCAGAAAACTTTCATACTGGCAAGTGTCATGAAGAACTGTGAAGCTTCCACAGAAACTTAAGAAGCTTAGGAAAGCAAGGCATTTCAAATGACTTGTGATAACATTAAAATTAAATGTTAATTCATGTTGTAGAATAAATAATTAGCATCCATTAAAATAAAGTGAAAACAAATATTGTATATGTCTTAGATTTGAAAGAAAATAAGGAAATGGTGCAATAGACAGGAAACAGCTCATCTTCAGACATCATGAATTACACAGCAGAAAGGAAATAAGTGACCATCTGAAACAATTTTTTTTTAATTAATTTAAAAATTTAAAATACAGAGATTAGTATCAAGGAAATAATTTAAATGAGGATAATTTTTAATTAAAGACTGTTTTGGTAATTGTTTTTGCAGTTGTAAAAATGCTCTGGGGAAACACTGCCTGGATATAACAAATAAAATGGAGCTGTCACAAGAGTGGAAAGATTATGGGCAGTAGAACTGGTAACGGAAGAGCTGGTTTGTCTTGTTAGCCATGCAGTTAGCTCCCTGGTGAAACAGCGTGGCAGAGCATGAAACAGCATGGTAGAATGCTAAGGGGAGATAATCTGCTCAATCAGCCCCCTGTAGAGGTTCTGTCCTTTGACACAATATTCCATGTGCAAGTGAATGATGCAGCCTGTAAGAAAAGCCAATGTTTCCTTTCAGACCTTACTTTCCAGGAGCATGTATAAGCATATATTTCTGCCTCTACATGTGTTAGAATTGCAGTCATTTTGGATTATATCTTTTTTTCTCAATCCAGCAGGGACTTTCAGAGCAGGCATTACTCCTCCTAAATCCCTGAGGGGCCTGATTCATTTAGCTGTGCTCAGAGCATGATAAGACATATTGGAAAGATTGGACAGCAAACAAAACATAGCAGCTGTGGAAACATTCTCTAAAATACAAGGGTAGCAGTGGTAGTCAGATGAAACCTAGTGAGTGTGTGATTTTTTTGAAGGACTGTAGGTTGGACAAACACATTTACAAAAAAAAAAATATGAAGTGTGCAGTAATTTACCACTTTGTCAGAATTTAGTGCCGTGCTCTATAGCAGCTAGAACTTTTTTTTTAGATAAAATTACCTTTCAGCATAAGCAAAACAGCACTTTTTCTCCAGCCAACTTTACATAAATGGGTTAGCAAACACATTTAACTGATATTCTTCAAGTAACTCAGCCTGAGGCTGACAGCCAGCATAGAAAATTTCAGCCCAAATTATTAAAATTTGGTATAGCTGTAAGAGTAGAAAAAATACATCTCATAATGGTAAATACCTGCCAGCCTTTATAACGGGGAGTACTACTAATTCTACTCACATATTATGTGCGTATATGTATAAATCTGAGTATGCATATACAGAGGCACATATATATTCATATATGTATATATTTAGTATTTGGTTTTCACAGTATTAACATAGGCTTATATATTATAGTGCAGTTTTCATTTTCACTTTAATTATCCTGGGATAAAAATCACTGCTATTACATATGAGCACCTTCCACCTGCAAAACTAGTGAAAAATCAAGAATCATCTCAAATCAGGTTTTTGATGTACCAAGATGCAAAGATTTGTATAAATGCAGAATTGAAGAAAGCTTAATGCAAGGTTTCTTTTTTCCACAATTAGTACTCATTTTATTTATTCATGAATGCTGTTAATAAAATATGTAGCAAGGCAGAACATTCCATTAGCCAGCTTCTACTGTAATTAAAAGATGAATTACCAACAACCACTGATTTATTTTTCTCATTTGTAAGAGGATATCTTTAGGTAACTGTTTCCCTGGTGCTTTCTTGCTTGTTCTGAGCTGCCTGATGGCCAAGTGGTACCTTCTGGTAGGTGTGTAGTTTGCTGTAGCCCCCAGAGTGCTCTGCCCAAGGGTGCTACTAGTCATGTTCACACTGTACCTCCAGAGCTTCCTCAAGCTGTTGTCTCTGTCTTCTAGTTTTAGAGTACTGTGTATGATGTTCTCACACTAATGAGCTTATTGTGAAGATGGCAGACAAGTTTGTTACATCAACTTAGACTGAATTTAATACCAAACTTAACATCACTTCTGCCTCTATCAAATAGAATAGAAAAAAATGATTGGTGAGTGTTATCAGTTGTTATCCCTAGGAATCCATCGGACGAAGAAAGGAAGTAAAATATTTTTAGCTTTGTCCTCTAGTAGAAGGAATAAAAGAAAAATAACTGCAAAATCTTGATAGTGATGTTGAGAACTGTGTCCAGCACACCCATGGGTCCATACCAATTCAACTTGCCTTCTTTGCTCAAAACTGACCAACTTAACTTATGTCTTCTGCACAACTTTTCCTCCTTCCTGTTACTTTACTTCAAAAAGGATTTTTCCCCTCTACTTCAGGTCGCCTAATGAGCACATGCTCCTAATGGACCTACTGATACTATTGAAGAATAAAGTGACTATCCTTCCTTCAGCACTGTAACTATTCTTTGAAAAGCCAAGACCTTAGAATTTCAGTTTTAACACTCTTTTGGTTTTGTTTGTTTTAAATCTTTTACAGTCTTTGCTGAGCATTCGTGGTTCCCTGTTCTCACCAAGGCGCAACAGCAAAACAAGCATTTTCAGTTTCAGAGGTCGTGCAAAGGATATAGGATCTGAAAATGACTTTGCTGACGATGAGCACAGCACTCTTGAAGACAATGAGAGCAGAAGAGATTCTCTCTTTGTTCCAAATCGACATGGAGAACGGCGCAACAGTAACATTAGTCAAGCGAGTGTGTCATCTAGAATGGTACCAGCCCTTCCAGTAAATGGGAAGATGCACAGCTCTGTGGATTGCAATGGAGTAGTTTCCTTGGTTGGAGGACCTTCAACTGTAACTTCACCTACTGGTCAGCTTATAATAGAGGTAATTATAAGTAAAACAGTAATTATTACAGTTTGGTTCAGGCATGGAATTTCTTCTTACTGCTCACCTCCACTTGTCTTATCATTTCTTAAAGCTGTGAAAAATAACTTGCTATAGTTTCTAAGTAATAAAACATAAGGGGAAAAGAAGTCTCCAACTTCCTAAGTCTGAGACTCAATGAAGTGTTATATTCTCCTTGCCTTCAGCAGCAGATCTGCACATAGAAAGCAAAAAATACAAATTGAATTTGTACATAGTTTTGCCTCGCAAACGAAGGTAGACATTTGATATACAACTAAGGATATAAGTTGTAAATATGTATAGGAAAACACCTGCAAAATTAAGCAGGATGGAGTTACTACTCACATGATAGTTAATAGAAATACCTTTTACTAAATTTAGTGAAAGAGATTTTTTCACAACTTTAATGAGAAAAATATGCACAAATCCTCTGTACCTTTGCAATTACACTACATTTCAATCCCCGTTTCAGACTTTTTTAGAAGCCATACAAAACAGAGAGGACTTGCATATTCATTGCAAGAATATATGACAAATTTTGTATAAGCATTGTGGTGGGTGAGAATTAGGTAGAAGAAATAATAAATAAGATGTGATTTTTTTTCTTATATAAAATTTTCCGACCATGCTTATCAGGTTAGGAATGTAGTATATAGTATTACAGAGAGATAATTAATTCCTAGAATTATAATCATGTTTCTTGTATCAAAGTTACTTTCTTTAATAACAGTTCACTTCTTCCTGTACTTGCACTTTAATTACTTAACATGACAAGATGCTGGAAATTAAGGTGACAGGTTTCAACTTTGATAATTTTTTCCTGAAAGAATAATAATATTTATTAGCAAAAAGATACCTAACAAAAATTTTGTTCACTCAGTAATTTAAATGAGAACCACTTTTGGTCCCACATTGCCTTGGTATTGTGTCCCTCAGTTGATTATTCCTAGCACTGTACAAAATTCCCACTGAGTTCCTCAATAAAGAACAAAGACATTACTACAGAAACAGAAATCTTCAGTGTGTAAGGAAAGCCTAGTATGCTGCACAAAGCTGTTTTTGATTATCACTACAATATTTATACAGTAAATATCATTAACTGGCTGTTGAAAGAAAGTTTTAATGCCTCAGTATTTCATTTACAGGGCACCACTACAGAAACAGAAATAAGAAAAAGAAGACTGAGTTCCTATCAAATTTCCATGGAAATGCTGGAAGATTCTGCTGCAAGACAAAGAGCAATGAGTATAGCCAGCATACTTACAAATACAATGGAAGGTATTTGAGACATTTTATCTGACAGGCAGTTCAGCGAATTTCTGCTAACTATATGTACAGAGCAATTCTTTACATAATTTCCATTGTAAATGTATAACTGGACACGTGAAATCTCTGAACATCAGATACAAAGGCTTTTGAGTGTTTCTAAGATAACTGACACATTCTAAATGCTTAGTCATTTATTTTGCAAGGCACCACACAAAATATTACTCTATTGAGTGGACTAACAGAGTAACAGAAACAAAATAATCACAGCTAGGGGATGGCCGGGGATGGCCCCAAACAGAGAATCCAGGGATCTTCTCCCTTTATCAACAGGAAAAATAAATTAAGATACACAAAGAATTGCTGTGATAAAGGCAGTGATATGCTAGCACAGTCATTTCCCTTAGACTTAAAATCCAAGGATAGACTACAGGAAATTGGAATGCAAAATGTAGTTTTAAAGAAAAAAATGAACTGTAATCAACCTTTGCAATGCACATGAACTGCCTTCCTTAACTATTTTTTAAATTTTCTTATGTAAATATAATAAAGATTAAAAATTATTATATTTACTATATGAAAAAACATACATTGTTGGAATTGTTTTGCCTATTTAATGGAAACTGAGTACACCCACACTTCATATATATGCCATTAAAATATTTTTATAAGCTTAAAGGATCTATCTACTGGCTACTGGCACAGTGTGACAGCTGTTACTCAGACAAACCCTGAGGATGTCCTACAACACATATTCTAAAAGGACAAGAATTACTAAGAAATTTACAGATTACTTCAAGTCAGAATTGAAATATACTTTTTAAAGCGCGTTCTTAAGCCCTTTGCTCTCAGATTAACCAATAGACCCCAAACTAATTGTGGTCAGAAATATAAGGCTTATATCGCCTGTTTCCTTCTAAAGGTATTCACAAACCATTCTCACAAAAATATTGTTCTGAGTTTAGTGCAAGCGTGAACTTATGGTACCTCTTGATTCTTGGTGTGCAATTCTTAGTTCTCCTCCCAGGTACAGAGGATACCTGTAAATGTAAACTGTGTCATCCTGATAGTCACCTCCTACCCATGTTTGGTTTCCATTGTTTCAGAAGTTGCTGAGCGCAAGCAATGGAGTCTTCCATGCCAAGTCAGCATCCAGTGTGAATGGCCACTTTTGTCCAAGGCCAGTCCCATCCTACTTCTCAGTATTCCGAGTTACATGTTCAGAAATGTGATTATTCCACCCAATCCAGATATTCCTCTGGAAGTACTGTCTTAATTATGGTTTATAAAGATTATAGAAGACTTACGCTACTTAAATACCATTTTCTGCCTGGAGGCTACAGTCTGATGTAATGGGAGAGCTTGTTAGTTTCAATGAATTTGAGAGCTGTGGCAAATGACCTTTTAACTTTCCGTAATTCCACCCATATAGGACAATATTAGAGGCAAAAATCAATCCATTGTTCTTCAAAGTGGAGAGTTTGTCCTTAAATGGCCAAAGACTAAAACCTGCTTCACAAATACTGTAAAACAGCATGTTTGCTGTTTTAGCAAGATCACCCATAAGTGTCACCATGGTGGACGCCTCCCTGTGCTCTAAGGGATGTCTGAAAACATGCAAAATTCAGATTTTGGTTGATGCCACTATGCAGAAATTTTATTGAAACTGTTGTGTCCATTACTTACATATTTTGTAGATCAAGTATTTCTCACTTAAGCAAATATCAATCTTCCTTCTGGGCTGTCCTCAAACAACCCATTACATTAGGCATTCATCCTTGCTATTATTAACTCAGTAGAAGTTACTATTCTTCTGTAACTTCGACAATATTGACAGTGAAATTGAAAAAAAAATAGTTTGCAAAATTCTAATTGAGAGCAGAGTTGTTCTGCTAATACTAATATTGTTCTGTTTCTCAATTGATAGACATTGCAACTGTATAAGACATTTCCAACAAATTCAAATGATAATGTTTAAAATAAAAGGCAGGCATTCTGTATATCAAAAATATTGATTCAAATAAGCAATGATAGATATGCGCACCGAGTCACTTATCTGCTGTGATATTGTAGTGGTTCAGTGTAGTAGCAAATACAATACTTCTAGTAGCTCAAATCAATATGTGTACACATGTTACATACTTAACACAAAAATTTTATATTTTATGAAACTTACACAAATTATATGCATCAGTTCACTGACAACAGAATCATGTTAACTTTTACTATCCAAAATTAAGATATCTGCTGTAAGCAAGTCAACTAACCTAATTAAATGTCTATATTCTCGCTATTGTCATGGGAAAGAGACAAACACATTTATCTCTTTAGATAAATGTCTGGGATGATTCATTCTTTAGAGATAACTTCACTGTCCACTGGTTGTAGAGGAGCTTAAATAAATAGATTTGCTGCTTAACTTTAAGATGGCTAAACATAGGTGAGGGAAATCTCATGTTAGTGTGAGCTGTTTATTTGAATGATTTCATCTTTTATCATATTTTAAACAAGAACTTCCAAAGGATATAACTGGAATATTCGTTACTTGTTTCTTTTTTTTTTTCTTTTTTTTTTTTTTTTCAGAGCTTGAAGAATCCAGACAGAAATGCCCACCATGCTGGTACAGATTTGCAAATACTTTCTTGATCTGGGATTGCTGGAGTCCGTGGTTAAAAGTAAAACACGTAGTCAATTTAGTTGTGATGGATCCATTTGTTGATCTTGCTATAACTATTTGCATTGTTTTAAACACCTTGTTTATGGCCATGGAACATTACCCAATGACCGAACAGTTTAGCAGTGTCCTTTCTGTGGGGAACCTGGTAAGTAGTTTGTCATGCACTACTTGGTGTAAAAATAACCTTTTCTAAAAACAGAAATGCATTGCATTGGTTTTAAATTTATTCCACCTTGGTTTTTATAATCAGTTTAGAAACTGTGTATATAATTTTCATAGAGAAAGTGATTTTTGCTGGAGCCTTTAACTTTCATGAATCTGTTTTGTGACTACTATAATGAAATAACTGAGTATGTGTGGAAGTGCAGTCTTCACTGAATTGTCAGATTTCTTAAGGTCTAGCTTGGGTTTTTTCTTTAAAACGCTAAGGTAGATTATCTGATTTTCACCATGGTACTGATATTCCATCACAAAAAATATTTTTATTTCGTAAGAAATATTTGGACGACAGAAATATTCAGATGTCAGAATTTCTCTGAATTTTTTTCAGTTACACTACAATGAAAGTACATTAAATGCTGTAGTACATTTCCATATATTAGGAAATATATAAGTACATTTCCAAATATTAGTTAACTAAAAAATACTTATTAAACTAGAAGATTATTGTTTCTTCTCTAACAAAAATAATTTTGTATATTTAAGTTCATTAGGGATGCCTTTCCTGATTTTTAACCTGATCCAGAGATTTAGGGGTACATGCAATTCCTTTTCGGAGTAGATGCCACCTAAATGTGGCATAACACTTATATGTTCTTGTATGTTTCTCTCCATTTGCTTCTAATGCTCAGGAAGTAGAGGGCTGACATTTGCAAGTGTTTGTTTCAGCAGAGTCATACATTTTTAATTTTTTGCCAGTTCACATAACTACCAATAGTTTACACAGAAGTCTGGATTGACTCACACAGTATGCAGTCACGAAAATCAAAACCAACCAATTGTTCTGAACTAACCACTCAAAATGTTTAGTTTTGAAAAGTCTGATAATATTTAAATGGAGCAGTAATAGATTTCTCAGTCAGGGTATGTTTTAAAGTCTAAATATTTTCCTTATATATACTGATAATACATCCTATGACCTTTAAAAAAAATAAAACTAAAAATGAAATTTAGTACCGGCGCGTTCTTGTGTGCATTATGATTTCCTTTCTCCTGGACAAAGATTTAATTGTTGGCATATTCTTATACTCATCACAGATTACAGAATAGTGAAAATGTATATTGAATATGTCTGTCTTATTGTTAGAATTATTTCTCTCCAACTATTTATACTTAAAGATCTCCTGCTTTTTCCCATCTCATATTTTTATTTTTTTTTATGATAAGCTATCAACAGCCATATTTTTAACTACCTTTGTAACAATCCAGTATCCTTAATTAGGATTATATATATGCAGTGAATACTATTCCTCCTGGTTTCAATTAGATTCTCTGTTCCTCACTGTATTAATCTATTAACCTTAATTTTGTGACTTCCATTCAAAATATGTTAATTTACTCTTTGCTTGTGACATCACAGTCTGTGTGAGGATAAATATGATAAATATTACTCTGTCTTTCCCATAGCATTTAAATGAGAAGGAAGAAATAGTTCTAAAATTCAATGATTCCTTTACATAATACTAAAATTATTTCAATATTCCAAAGTCCTACGTAATTATAAGAAAAACTTGCGTTTACATCTGTTAAAATGTATTTTTGTGGATTTGGGGATGCAGTTATGCTTTAGAAAAGCTTCTTCTTAAATTAAAAGGTAATCCTGAGTGTTGTTAGATAGTGTTGTAAAAAATCAGCTGTGCTTCCAGAAACTTGCTGTAGGAGTACTGAGAACAAGCTGGGTAAAAAACTATCACAAGGAAATGGCAGAGTACATTGGTGTACTTTTGGAATATCTAGGATATTCGAGTGTTGTGCAGAATATTCATATGTTTTTAGTGGTTTTGCATTATGCTCCTTAACTTCTTTATTATGCTGCACAAACCACTGATCACTACCTATTGCAAGAAAGTGTTGGGTTAAATTCTGAACTCTAAAACACTAAGCCACCTCTATAGCCTTACAAAAAGCCCAGTGCAAGAAACCCCAGCTTCCCGTATATTCCACCCATACTCTTCAACTCTGACCTAAAAGACAGACCTTAGAGAGTCTATCCTTAGAGAGTCTACCCTTAAAGAGGTTCTTCTAATACTTCTGTTTAGACTATGAGCAAGGAAAAAAAATCGCTGTCCAGTTTTCTTCTGCTTTACTGGGACTGTCCTCTAGAAACAAGACTGAAAACTGGATGATATCACATCATCTGCTGGATGGATAGCCCAGCACGTCAGTCAAATATGAACCGGGGCTGAGCTGCTGACTGGTGAATAGCTTTTTATAGCTTTACCAAACTTCTGCCCTCCTGTATCTGCCCTGATTTAGGAATTTGTTTTTAGTTATCAGTTTTCAGTGTTTAGAGATACTTAGATGGCATTTGGAGATGGCAATCAGCTGTTTTATATAGTAACAGGTAAAAGTAACAGGTATGAGAACTAAATCTGGGTTAGAAAAATTTACTCAGGTATATAAATTTCTCATAACAACTCAAGTAATTAATTACATTTTGTTTTAGGTATTTACTGGGATATTCACAGCAGAAATGGTACTGAAGATAATTGCCATGGACCCTTATTATTATTTCCAAGAAGGCTGGAATATTTTTGATGGTATTATCGTTAGCCTTAGTTTAATGGAGCTTGGTCTTGCAAATGTTGAAGGATTATCTGTTCTTCGGTCATTCAGATTGGTAAATACCTTGATAATTAACTATTTGCATGCAATTGTCACACTCAAAAAAAAAAAAAAGTGCTTATGTCTATAATAATTACCAGTATTGTAAAGATATTATTTACTTAAATAGCTCCATATTTTTCATATATGCCTAATTTGTAAGCTATATTTGATAAGTTTAAGGTGTGTGTTAGTGGATATCCTTTGATATCTTTGGGTATCGAATTATCCTGTCGATATCCTATCTTACTGATATCCTTGGCCAGCATAAGACTAACTGCTACTTTTTAATAATTTTATAAATCTTCATTATATTGATTTCATTAAGATTCATCAAAGCTGAATATCTGTAAAAACACATATATTGCCACCAGACTAAAGAATCATCAGGTTTTTAGTCTTTATATTGTGAACATTACTTTGTGTTATTCATAAAGCCTCTAAGTAGATCCTCTCTTAACAACACTTATTTGAATGGGCACCGAGAATAAACATTTAGTAACTCCATAACATATAACAAAGAGTCATAGCAATCTGACTTTAGATTAATAACTTAATAAAACTTAAATTGAAATACCTCTGAGCTTCTACTAGAAATGTCTTCATTAGTATTATACACAAACTAATTTATAGATTTGTTTACTGGAGACCAGAGTAATGATTTAAAAGTTTGTATTACTGATATTTATCATATTACTTGAAAACCTAGGTCATTTCCTAATATACAGAGCAGGAAGTAGTGACTTCATTTATTAGCACCAGTTGCCATGGTACCCAACTTCACATACCATAGTTTGGTTACTGAATATTATTTTTAAGTTAATGTTTATGATTTGAATGGACATTAAAATATCAGCATCAAATTGTTGCTTCAAAAATTGTCCTCCAAGTAAGACTGGAAGACCTAATGTGGTGCTGAGGGAAATGTGGAACTAAACCAACAAAGAGGGAGTAGTAGTGAAGGTGATGAAAAGAGTACAAACTGAAATGTCTTTAAGTAATTTAGTAATTCAGTAATCATCTGTAACTGGTTGTTTAAAAATATTAAAATCAAATGTGAAACAAACACAAATCATGTTTTTTTTTCTATGTGTATCACTAAGATGAAATGCTGAACAGTGCAGTTTAGGCTGATATCAAACTCCATGCTTCCTGCTTTCCATCAAAATAATCATATGTTCCTACTGAAGAACAAATTAATCTACAAAAACGGATATGCTCTGCTAAACAACTTGGACCTAGCTTCTGTTTCATAACTAACTCTAATGATTCCTCTGCCATTTTGTTTTTCAGCTTCGAGTTTTCAAATTGGCAAAATCTTGGCCAACTCTAAATATGCTGATAAAAATTATTGGCAACTCAGTGGGGGCTCTGGGGAATCTGACCCTGGTGCTGGCCATCATTGTGTTCATTTTTGCTGTGGTTGGGATGCAGCTATTTGGGAAAAGCTACAAGGAATGTGTCTGCAAGATCTCTAAGAACTGTGAACTTCCACGCTGGCACATGCATGATTTTTTCCACTCTTTCTTGATCGTATTTCGAGTGCTGTGTGGAGAATGGATAGAAACGATGTGGGACTGCATGGAGGTTGCTGGCCAAGCCATGTGCCTTACTGTCTTCATGATGGTCATGGTGATTGGAAACCTAGTGGTATGTGATAAATGTTTTTGAACGTTAACTCTGATGCAAAATGTACATAACTTACAGCCAGGCAATGAGAATGTTTGTCATACTTCTGCTTAGAATAAAAAAATTAATCTGAATGTGCTAGATTTTGGCTAAAAACACGTGATGATACCCTTCTCCCCTCTTTCATTCATTTCCATGCACTGAAGTACTCTCACTATGGGTCCAGGAATTTAGGAATACACCAGAATATCAAATCAAACACCCTATCATGGGAGTGCTGCAGCTAATTTAGGGGTGCTGTTGAAATCCAAATGTTTTCCTAACTACTTTTGAAATAATAAAGCTTATGCTGCACCAGGTCCTGGGCAGCTACTTCTTCAGAGGAAAAAAATCTAACAAACTTTCTTACCCCCATTACAGCTAATTACCACACTAGTACTTCTGACCTAGTAAAAATAAAGTATGATATAGATGTTATTATATAGAATATCTTCAATTTAAGTACTGAACTTCTTTGCCTGTTTAGGTGTAAAAAACAAAAAATGAAATACAGAGTGATTGGACGTTCAGCCTAAAAATGTGTTTGAAAGTTTCTAATTCAAAATTATAGAAGAAACCTTTATAGATAAATTTTAATTTAAGCTGACAACTTAAAATGCCAAAGGTTCAATTGATAAATACTGAATTCATAAGAACTTCTTAGAAATCAGTTAATGCTAAAGGATTATAATTGTAATGTACCATTTACAGTTTTACTTTAAGTTTCTTTTACCTTTAATCTTTGCAGTTCATTCTCATATGCTTAAAAACTTTATTTCAGTACTTCTCAAAATTCTTTTCTTTTAGTGAAATATTTTAATGTGATTTAATTTTTTAGAAAATAATATTCAAAGTGTTCATAACCTAGTTGTTTACATGACCTTGCAGTTTTTCATTATATCAGCAGAAATGTGCAGAGCCCCAGAAAGTTATTTATGATCAGTAACATGCTCCACTATTTTTTTTTTGTATTAGCTTCAGCATAGAAATACTGTCTCATACTATCTTCTTTCTTCCAAGCATCTTGTGAAAGTCTGCAGAATTAAATCTCAGAGAGAGTATGAATGAGAGACCTAACACATTTAAGTATGGGGAAATTTATACCATTTTGCCATATCATGGTAACATTTGATGCCTGATAGTATTTCAGACTGAAAGTATGAAGCGATCAACTGCTTGTAAGCTTTACTGAAATAGCTACAGTTTATAGAAGACTATATTAAAAGAAGAGTAATGATGTTTGAATTCTGAGACAATAAACCACAGTTCTCGGGTAATGCTGGTGCTGTGATTGTTACCTGCTAATGAGAGAGATTCATTTTATTTTTAAATTCCTACATAAGAGCAAATAAAATTTCCAATTTTTGCCAAGTGAAAAAGAAAAAATCCAATTACAAATAATAGTATTATTATAAATAATAGTGATGAAAGAGTAAAATTCATTTTTAAATATTCCTTTTATCCTCTTATGACAAGCTTTACAGAATATAAGAGACAAGCCCAGAATTAACAGAAAATCACAGTCTCATGGTATAATCTTCCAAACAGTAGTTAGAAAGTGTAAGTAGGTTATTAAAGCATTAACTGATATAAGTTTCTAAAACATTTGCATCATAGAAACCCATCTAATTTTACAATTCATGTTTATTTAATTCTACTTAAATCCCAAGTGATTTTAAGAGATTGAGACAGCAGCCTTTCAAACCTCTGATGAATGTGTATAGCTAGATTTTTTGTAACTTTTTTTTAATTTTAGACATTTTATTTTAGACTCTTGCTGCTTCAAACAAAGATCAAAAAGCTTAAAATAATTAGGTATTAGTTTGACAGTTTTCATCTTCTCAGTGAATACTGATCAAAACAAGTAAGGACATCTTTTGTAATTTAAGGTGCTATATGGTTGTCTAAAATTAGTGAATGCTGTTTTCCAAAACAACGTGTGCCATTTCACAGTATCCTGTAAAAATACTCGGTGCTTATATGTATGTATTTACTATACAGCTGCATTCTCTCATCTTTTAGGTATTGAACCTGTTTCTGGCCTTGCTGCTGAGCTCATTTAGTTCAGACAACCTTGCTGCTACCGATGATGATAATGAAATGAACAATCTCCAGATTGCTGTGGCAAGGATTCAAAAGGGAATAGATTATGTAAAAAAAAAGATACAGGAGTTCATCCAAAAAGCCTTCATTAGAAAGCAAAAAGCTTTAGAGGAAATCAAAGCACTTGAAGAGCTAAACAAGAAAGACAGCTGCATTTCCAATCATACTGCTGTTGAAATAAGCAAAGATCTGAATTGTCTTAAAGACGGGAATGGAACCACCAGTGGTGTAGGCACAGGCAGCAGTGTGGAAAAATATGTTGTTGATGAAAGTGATTACATGTCATTCATAAACAACCCAGGCCTCACTGTGACAGTGCCAATTGCAGTTGGAGAATCAGATTTTGAAAATTTAAACACAGAAGAATTTAGCAGTGAATCTGATATGGAAGAAAGCAAACAGGTAGGATTTTTTGTATCTTAACAAATAAATTGAAGTCATTAATTTATATATTTCTTAATTACATATTTAGAATTGTCTTATATATATGTAAAATATTTTATATTTTATTATTTTATGTAATTATAATTCAAGAAAAAAATACTCTACATGATGGTATACTAGGAGGTCCCTAGAATTTACATTTTTAATACTCTGTTTATTAGCATTTGGGAGATGTATAATTTTAAATATGATTATTTGTTCTGCAATTTTATGATGTTTTAGGACTAGTGCACATTTCATAAAGCATTCTTTCTATAGTACCTATAATGTGATCAGGATTTATGGAATAAGAGTATTGTAGAAGGCTAAGGAACAATCAAGAGCAAACAGCTTTCCATACCCAATCAAATATAAGTGGAGAAAGATATTTTTTTCTATATTAAGAGTATTTATAAAAATGAACCCTGAGATATCATAAAGTAGTGATGTATTCTGGATTATCTAAAAAGCTTTGTGAGTAATATTCATACAGATTTTGCGTTCAGAGACTATGGCTGGAAAAACTGAAGTAATCCAGATACCAATCAATGCCATGGAAAAGTAGTATCTCAAGTTATCCCAGAGAGCAGAACAGTCTTGTCATATAGATTCATGTGGAAACAGTTTACTTGAAAGCCTTATGCTATTGTTATTGTGCAAAGAGGCAGAAGTCGGTTTAAAAACCAGAAGCCATGTGCCTCAAAATATAAGTGGCTCAAATACCAGAAGTGATCATGAACAGGCAACGGTATTCAAGGAAAACTTTGTATTTTGGAGTAATGATCAATGACAAGCTAATAAATTCATTAGCAGAATATAATTATAAGGGATCAGGAATGATGGATAAATATGTTTTCAATTACATTAGAAGCTATGAAATTGTGTGATAATTCTTTAATACAAAAGAGTTTGTTTACCATAAAGAAAGTTCCTATATAAAGAAGCCCTGCATTCATGACTGTATCATAGCTGTATAGCTGCCATATTTGGAAATAATGCTGCATTCATTCCTCAGCAATACCAAACCATACCACATAACATTAATGGATAGCCACGATCCAGTTAATCGTAGTATGGGTTTTTTTGCTAAAGAACATAAAGGAATATAAAGAGTGTGTGTTTATTTATAACTGCAAAGGTTACTCTGCATAACAACTGTAAGATTAAGAGCAAGATATTCTATCATCTGAGTTGTTCAGTTATGAGACAAACATTTTCAATGCAGATGGATAAGATAGTATAGCAGTAGTGATTATCCATGGCAATTTAAGACTATAAGAGAAGCAAGAAGTGTAAAGTGATACAATTTATGAGATCAACTAGTATCAAAAACCAAGTTTTCAAAGTGACTGGGTCTGAGAGTTAAGTATTCTTCATGTAAGCTGATCTAATAAAAGTTAATTGTCTTTTCCAATTAAACTTTAGCAAAGTCCTCTAAGTCTTTTCATATATTCTGGTGTTCTTTAAAATGACATTTTACTATAAACTTTCTGCTTTCCTTGTGGTGAGTTTTGATAAATACAGTGATGAGTACCTTCCTAGTAACTCCATCTTATGAAGTTACATGCTTATAGAATTTCCTGAATAAGTTACTTTTTAAAAAGTATGCAATATGCATTAGGAAGTTGGGAGGCTTATAAACTGTGCAGATGACAAATGTGTGGTTACGTGACATGCTAGCCTCAGCAGCAGAGCTGGCTTGGGAAGTTCCCATCCACACCTGGCTCTGATTCCCTTGGCAGACTTTACCCCTTTCTCTGCTACAGTATTTGTGGGTCTCTACTATAAGGCATGTCACTGGAGTGATATAAGTTAAATAACATCATCCTGTAGGTATTATTTGTTTATTTCTTCTTTAAGATAGATTGAATGGTTCAGTTTACAGTGTACTGCTATATATTCTATCAGAACAGCTGAGGACAAAACAAAATGCAATGCAAAGACAGAAACTCCTCCGCTTTCCAAGTGAATATATGACATAAGTACAACCCAAGAAAACAGAGTAAGAGCCCTTGTTGTGCTGAGAAGTTCTGAATGATACCAATTTCAAGGTGACTTTCACAAGTCAATTGCTCTGTTCATTCCCATCTTTGCTTGGTTCAGGCATCATGCTTTTTTCTACTAAGGCCATCCTGAAGTTTCAGGACTGTAATAAATCAGAAGGGATTTTGCCTTTTTAGTGGACTTTAGATTTATCCATGTGTCTTCAGGAGGAGACATCAAATCCAACAGCAATTTGAAAGTGAAAATTTCAGGTGACTGTGGGAAATCCACCAGTAAATGATGGATAGTGCATGTATTAAGAACTTGAGAAATTTTCAATGGGGATAGGATAAGTTTAGGACTTCTGTAGAACCTCAGTATTTCCATGGAGTGTAATAATCACTTCCATTGCAAAGATGGAGCAATAGTGCTTCCCTCAATTTCTGCTCACACACAACTGTTCATCATGTAACTGTTTGACATGTATTTGTACAGTGCAAGTGTGCATATTGTGAATGGTATCTAATAAGACAGGAATTTCTTACCAGTGCCCTGAAAATTGTGAATTCTATATTAATTGCAGTTTCTGTTCTGGATTCTATATTCCATTCCTTCTAGATGATCTTTAGGGAAAGGATAAAGTGCTTTTTTTTATTGTGTGTATAAAAATCCACCTGCTTTGGTAATACATAAATATATATTCTGACATGTGACAAGAATTTGTGAAGATTCCCAACCTTCTCCTACCAAGTCAACAGTTCTGTTGAATCTTTTTCTGCCTTCTGATTGTATTTTGAGGAAGATAAAGGAGTAGAACAGTACACCATCATTTGCTTTATTTTGCCTCTCAAGGGATACCACTGAGACAACATTCCTAAAAGAAGAAAGCCTGGTCTGCAAAAGGAGGGGTAAGAGATGGGGCAGAAACTTTCCCCTCCTTACTGTACTGTAGCAGTACTTAACACTTAAAATACCTTCAGGAGGCATCCCCTTTAATAACTTTATATTTAACAACAGATCTGTGGGAAGCTAGATCTGCACAGGAACTGAAAAAATGAACCATTTTTTCCTGGTGTCTTACTGACTGCCATTGATGTTCAGAGCAGAATGATTATTTAAAGTCTATCAGCAATAACAGGTCATGCTAGAAGTGGGGCACGGTCTGTGTGCCAAGAGCAGGTAATTACTATAGAAATTGTAACTGCGGGTAAGTGAGGACTGTGCAGATGACAAATGTGTGGTTACAGGATTGTAATTGTAATTTTTTGTAATTTGTAATTTTTTTTTCTATTTTTATTATCAGATATACTATGGTACAAAATAACTCTAGCTATTAAGTGTCTTTTGGAAAGCTGGTTCCTTTTTATTTTGTTTTTTTTGTTGTTGTTGTTTTTCTTTTTTCCTTTCATGAAAACACTTTCTAATTAATTTGCTAGTGAGTAACTTTCCAAATCTGCCAGAATCTATTCTGGATCCTGGTTGCAAGTTCCAGACCTAAACAGATCTTTCTAATACATATTACCAGAAATTTGGGGAAGTGTCTATTTGGATGAAAGATAACAATAACATTTATTAGATTTAAAAGTTACTGACTACTTTACTGTAGTAGTTGGCTGAAAGCACCTGAAAGAAGTGAAGATTTCACTGATACTTTGAAGGAGGATTTTCTCAGTATCTACTATTAGTAAAGAGAGGTGCAATACCCAATGAAATAACCATCAGAAATAAGAGATTTCTGCTCTGAAAATAAGATACTCAAGATAACGAAATTTAAAGATAATAAGAAAATTGGAAGTAACTAAAGGGAATAATTTGGTGCCTTTTAAAGTTAGCATTGTGGATGCTGTTTCTATTATAAATAGGCCTGCTAATCAGTGAAATCAATGGACTATGTTAACCTTACCTAACATAAGACTACTAACTATTGTATTTCTGTACCACTTAACAAGTGTTCATTATATCTGAATCAAAACGTTATGAATGAAGTTTTGGATTTCAACATGGAACAGTTATTTCAAAGATATTAATCAGTTATTGAAAGCTTATTTCAGAACTAAAGAAATACATATACCTACAGGCCTCTATCATTCAAAATTCCAAAAGCCTTTATATCTACAGTATATGTACAGTAAGTAAAAAATCAGATTGGAGAAGTAATCTGTAATTGCACCAGATGGTTTTAATAAAATTAAAAATATCCTTCATAATCAAATCCACTGAATTTTCAAAGCAAGAAATAAATTCAGTTTTCTGTTTGGTTTCACTAATGCCTTTGTGACTAGGTGAAGTAAAAAGACAGGAACACTTATTACATTCCCAAATATTAAGCATTGCCATTGGGCTTCAATAAATTTTGTAGCCAAAGTGTACCCAGGAGTGATTTGATCAATTTGTTGGATGATTTGTTATCACATTTCTTTTAAAATTTCCCATAATCTAAATTCAGTTTTTCTAAAACTGACCAATTCTGGGACTGTATCTTCAAAAGTCACAGATCCTTTAAGTTACAGACTAGCTGTGGATAAATGTAATGTTAATAAATATAACCATATCTCTGGATACACTGATGGGCCACTGTCCAGACACTGATCCAATTCTCTTTTGAAACAGTTAGAGACAGATTATAGAGTCAGAAGTATATAGCATACTAAATCTAAACTAGAAACTTACACAATATGATACTGCATCACATTTAATTTGAATGTTAACTGAGGTTTATTTTCATTGAGATCTCTAAGTTCTACCACCATTATTAGAGTATGAAGGAGGAATGTGAAGACATACATATTCAAAGTATTTTGCTTCCTGTATGTACATTTTTTGAAAATAAGAGATAATCCCATAGTCAGTTAAATGAAGACTAGAACATTAAACCAAAAAAACCCCTTAAAATTTTCATTAATATGCATTTAGCACTATATAAATACTGGAATACTTAAAAAATCTGCTAACCATGTCTTTATTAATTTAATTAATTGTATTTTTATTTATGAATC